ATGAATTTAATAATGAAACATCATTCCGCAATTTGATAATGCATTATTTCTATAGATTTTTGTAATATTTTTGAGAATGTATTTATTTCTACTCGGAGCCTTTAAAAAAAAAACTTAGAATACAGTTAGTTTAATTATATAAAAATTGACGTAACGGAAATTCCTGATTACTTTTTATAAATGTTTGGAGTTAAAGGTTACTTGATCATAAAATATGCGTAGTAAAATTTTGAAAAACAAAGTATAAAGAGAACATATCACACGATTACAGTAATTATATAATATATTTATAAGTTTGCAAACGAATTATATTTTAAGAGGAATTATAATCAAGAATAATTATGTAACCGATTACTTTTATCGTTATTTAAATTCGTAATTTTTTATAAACTATATGATAATAATCAATTATATTGATACCTTGATAAAGTTCATATTTTAAGTGCTCAATATGTGCCTATTTGTATCTTCTTTTAAGAAACGATTAAGTTTAAAAAATAAGAATCAATTAGATTTTATCTTACTGCTTAAATATATGTTAAAATATGTTTTAGGAAATTTACATTATTACATAAATTACTAAATAACACATTGACTCTGTTTATATTTGTATCATAGTTGATCAATAGAGTTGCAATAGAGCTGTGTTTTAGCTTGATAACAATATTACTGCTTTTTTTACTATAGTTAAAAATTAATATTGATGATCTCATTTCCATGTAACAATTATTTAATTTCATATCTAACAAAGTATTATTTTTTATTGATTATAAATGTTTCGTAGACAAAAACAAAAATTGTTGATTGTTCCCTAAAACAATATTGTTATTATTACTTAAAAAAAAACTAACTCAGAATCTAGCTAAAATATTAATGTAAAAATTGAAAAAGTATGCGACAAGAAATTTTGTAATCCTTTCGTTACTAGCATTCTGTAACAAATACCACCCTATTAGTTTTTTTTTCATATAAAAATATCGTAATTGTGTTAAATGAAAACTTTGCTTATTATTTTTTTTATTTATTTATATTCCGTCCCTTTCGGGTTTGGAGGGCTTCCGATACAATTTCCTTTTTCCAAAATTCAAACAATCAACTATTACATATTCTATCTCAATACAATTAAAACTTTAAAAACAAAACTGAAACTAAAACTTTTTTTTTTTTTTTTTTTTTTTTTTTTTTTTTTTTTTTTAACTAGCTAACAACATAACAATCACTTCTATATACAATTTTTTCTTCTTTATTCTTCTTCCTTTTTCTCTGCTTCCTTTCTTTTCCTTATAACTTTGCTTACTATTAAACCTACAGATACTTTATATATATATATGTCAAATGAAACCTTAAAGAAAAACATATATCTTCATATCGAATGCAATTTTAAATAATTACATAGGAATACAAATATTTTCTTTTATTTACAGATGAATAGGTTTAATTTAAAATAATATAATAATAGGTTTAGTACACATAAAACAATATTAAACAATATGTGCCGCACCTCGTTTGCAATATTTTACATAATTAAATTGTAATAAAAATAAATTCTTTTTACTTGGATATTAATAATTTATATAAATACATTATTACTTTATTTATACAAATTATATAATGCAGTATTTTGACTTGACATTGTATAGGTTTTATATTAATAAAACAATGTAAATAAATATATGACCCTAGTACACACAAGTAATCAGATTGATGCCGAATATATCTGGCACTAGTATTAAAACATTTCAAATGTATAATTGATTAAGCTCACGTCATGCTTAATAAAATATCAGGGGATTAAAGTGCAAAGAACAAGCTGCACTATTAAAATTTTCATAAGAAAATAAAGTTTACATAAGTATGTCATCATCATCATCAGAAGTGTAACAAATTTAATCAAAAATAAATTGTTAACCGTTGATATTACTCGGTGTTCAAATTCTCAATTCTTATATACTGTTTGTAATGCTGAAATATATTGAAACTTTTATCAAGGACAAATTTTCGGTTTCAAACATCATTTCCTTGTCTCTCCTATAATTCAACAGTTAAGTTTAAATACAGAATCGATCATTATCTATCAGATGGTCAGAATATATACTAGAAATTATATATTTGTATACTAGTTAACATTATACAGTTACAGTAAAAATTCTTAACCTACAATACGTATCTGTGATTTTTCAAATATACATTAAAAATAAATCATTTTAATTATAAAATATTCGAATTTTTTTTATAAAAAAGAAATAGGTTTTCAAAATTTATTACGAAAAATACAATAGAGTGTTCAATAGTGAAAGTTAAACGAAAGGAAACCAAAAAGAAACTATTAACAAGTTATTCAATTAGGTGATATAAAAATCCAAAAATTTCATTTGTCAATGAAATCATGATTAGATTGAGTAAAGGATATATTACTACATTCGTGGGAAGCTGCTTTTTCCGCAAGTTTGACCCAAATTTGATGAACATACTATTATGGATCAATAGTTTTGAGTATATGCTTGATGTTTCAAAAATACATGAAGATGAAAAAACTACATTTTTATTAAGTATGTTAGAGCCTATTGTTCTTGATAAAATTCATGAAAAGGTATTTCCTTTAACCCCATATCATCTTTCATACGATGAGAATATATCCATATTGGAAACCATGTACTCGAATCTTGAAACAGTAGCAATAGCTAACTATCGTTATAAATATCGTGACCAATTACCATTAGAATCTATACAACACTACGTATTTGCTTTAGTAAAATTATATAACAAATGTGATCTTAGAACTAAAGAGAATATTCAAATAAAGGATCGATTCTTTGATGGAATATCAGACCAGGAAACTAAAGATGTATTGGAAATTAATAATTATGAAAACATGTCATTTCCTATGGTAGTAACTTTAGCCAAACAAATAGAAAATATTAAAAATATTCATTTAAGTGATTCATTTTCCGATTAAAATCATTTCATTCGATTACATTTATACACTAGAATATAAAGAAATACAAGACAAAGAAGAATAATTGACTTTTGCTATTAAACAACGTGTGATTTTAAATTCGTAAATAATATTAAGTTACTCGGTTTAGAGTGTAATTTAAAATGTATTTCATTTATATACAATAATACGGCACGTTATTATGACAATTATTAAATTTTAATTTTTAATCTAATTTTTAATTGTAAATGTTCGTTAGAAGACAATCGAAAATATTATTTGATTTTTGAAAAGTATATTATTATTTATAATAGTTCTCCACGTAAAGATATAAATATATTATCAAAAATATATAAAATATATATCATTAGTTAATTACATAGGATATATATATATATATATATGCTCCTGTAAATTGGAGAATGTCAAAATTCTGAAATGTTAACACATACCAAATACGCCAGTGAAAAACCGAATATTTGTA